GTTCACAGGGCCGGGAAGAGCGCCGACGGAGGACAAGGAAGTCGGGATCAAAGGAGGACGACGAAGGGCGAGCAGGTCGCTCTGGCCGAGGATCCGAGGGAAGCCAGCAGGGATTGCAAGAGCAGGGTCCGAGCCTTCCCGGGACGCGCCGCGGTTGAGCCCCTTCCCCTCGCTCAGCTCGTATCTTCCCGCCCTCCCGGACCGTCCAGGACCCCCGCGCGTCCCGTGCAGTCCGGCTCCGCCCGACCCCTCTCGGACAGGCCACAGCCGAGGCCAAGGGGTGGCCGCAGAGCTCGGAGGCCCCCGCTGGGCCAAAGTTGCCCTGAGCCGGGGGGAGAGGCCCGGCCCGCGCAGCCTTACCTTGAGCGCCAGGTGGTGGACACGGCCCAGGCCGGGCGCGGCCAGCAGCTGCAGCAGCCCCAGCACCGGCAAGAGCCGGAGGCCCGCGGCCAGCCGAGGACAGCGAGAGCCCGCGGGGCCGACGGGCGCCGGGGCGGCCATGTTTGTTCCAGCATCACCAGTCGCTTCCTCTCCCAACTACTTCCGGGGTTAAAGGTCGGCGGCGCCGGAAGGGTCCGGGGAGGCGGAGCGGCGGACCGTGCGCAGGTTTCCGTGGGGCGTGCGGCCCGGGAGTCGCCGGGGGTCTCCGTCGGCCGTCCCCGCCCTGCGGTCACCCGTCTGCGGACTCTGGGCTTGGCCGCAGGGCGCGGGACAGACCCGGCCTTGCCTCCCCGCGCGAGCGCTAAGAGCGACTTCGTGCGGCGGGAGCCCTGACCCAGACGACCTCAGGGCGGGCGCGAGCTGGGGTCCCAGCCAGCCCGGACGGGAGTGGACTGGGAGGGAAGTTCCCGGCTGGCAGTCCCCCGTTTCTTTCCAGGCATCTGACACTCGAATTTCAGGCGAAATGGTTGCAGTAACTCGATTTATTGAGCCCCTAATGAAGCAATTCGTTCCATTTTTATTGCATAGAATCCTCGGCACAATCTGATGAGATAGGAGATAGATATGGTTACCTCCAGTTTACAAGTAAGCACACCGAGGCTCTGAGAAATTTGTTCCATGGCGAGCTGGGAATTAGGGAACTTAGCTACCGGGTTACATTGCCTCCTACTATGGGGGGTGTTTAGAAACTGCAAAATGTGCTTTATGAAAAAACCATTCATGGATTCCTGTTTTGTTTGCATCAAAATAAACTTTACTTCCATTTTTCCACATTTTGAAGTCCCCTTATTTCATCTGACCACCAGAGTTTAACATTGTTCTCTTTATTTTGCATAGAAAGTTTCTTTGCTTCTAATCTTTAGAATTTTATAGGGGCCCTTCTACTCACCATTCTTTATCAAGCAATTATAGAAAAGTATGCTTATTAAAATGGCCTGTAGATTGCCATTTTTTAGTTTGTTTCAGAAATAATGCAAGCTTTGTGTGTGTGCAATTGTTTAAACAAGAGAGAAGATGAAACCGCCAAGAAAACTCACAGGCCAGCAGGTGGGAAGGTTAAGGCACTGGACTCCCACATGACTGACCATGGCTTGAGTCCCAGGCTGGCGGCTCTCTTTCTCTCTCAAGTGCCCTGTAGCAAGTTTTAAAAAATTGTAATTATTGTGGCTGGCAGGTGGTGTGGTGGTTAAAGGTGCTGGATTCCCACATGGCTGACCACAGTTCAAGTCCTGGACCTGGCGGCTTGCTTGCTCGCTCGTTCTCTCTCTCTCTCTCTCTCTCTCTCTCTCGTCAACTAAATTAAATAAATAAAGCTAAATTTTTAAAAATTCTTTAAATAAAACAAGTAATAAAGTAATTCTTTAAAAAATATCAATAGCAAGAGACTGTCAGCATACTAGAATGTTTTGAGAAAGAATCAGATTCTGAACATTTTCAACTGGAATTAGGAACTGAAAATAATATGATATATTTTAATGGTGCTAAAGTGGTACTCAGGTTTAACTCATGTTTAAAAAAATTAATGAGAGATGGGATGACAGCAGGTGGGATAGTATTTAAGGCTCTAGACTCCCACATTGCCCAGTACGGTTTGAGTCCTAGACCCAGCAGCTTAAAAATCATGCCAGGCACATGTATGTGCATGTGCAAAATCTTGAGAATGGGAGAAGGGATTGTGATATGCCCATCTCCTCCCCGGGTGTGTGTGTGTGTGTGTGTGTGTGATTTCTCACTTTCCTTCTCGCTGTCTCTCTGGCAAGCAAATGCACCCTATGGCCAAAACCTAAATAAAAAAATAAAATAAAATAAATTAATTGGGTGGCCGGCAGGTGGCGTGGTGGTTAAGGCTGTGGGACTCCCACGTGGCTGACCATGGTTCAAGTCCCAGACCTCGCAGCTTGCTTTCTCACCTTCCTTCTCTCTCTCTGGTCAACTTCAATAAAATAATGACAATGAATAAAATTAAATAAATTTTTTTAATTAATTGGGAAAGTACAGAATGGAAATAAGATGAGGGCAAGAGAGTGTCCTATATTTTTTAGTTGTGTGTGATCTTAGTAAAAGTCATGAACCTGTTTTTCCCTTGACTCAAAAACCAGTACAAGCTCTGTCACACCCTCTGCAAGTACAAAAGTAGAACAGTAAGGTGGAGCCCATAAGTCTGTAATTTATCTTACAATACTTGTGATGGTTACTCACAGAAAGGCAGTGATTAGTTAGTTGGTGAGAAATAGCCCTCTCCTTCCCTAGCCTCCAGTCTTTGGCCAGCTGTTACAAATAGGGCATCTTATGTGTTCAGACAGAACTTCAGTTGATCCTACTCTTTTACAGATAGAGACTGAAAGAAGTTCCATAGTTTCTACTATATGAATCTGCTCAGGGAGGCAATAATTTATTGAGTAATTAAATATGCCAAACAGTCCACTAAGTATTTTATGTATACCTTATCTCAGTTAACATCGCAAAAAACTTATAGGTTTTTATCCTCTCCCCTTTTCAAAATGAGGCTCGGTGAGGCCAGCAGGTGGTGTAGTAGTTACCTCCTTGTGCTCCTACATGGCGACAGTGGTTGAGTCCTGGACTAGGTGGCTTCAAAATCATATGACAATCATGCATCATGTGCATATGTGCCTGAGATCCCAGGAGAAGAATGGAAAAGAAGGGATTGCGGCATGGCCATCCCCTGTGGGTTATGATTTCTCACTTCCCTCTCACTGTCTCAGTCTCTATGGCAAAAGTGCTCGTACCCTATGGCAAAAACCTCTTTTAAAAAAAATGAGGCTTGGTTAGAGTAACTAATTTATTCAAGGGTAGTCTGCTCATTTATAAATGCCCCAGCTGGTGTTCTCATCTAGGACCTGTCCACGCAGCTGAGCATATCAACTCTGTTCTGCGTTAGTTTAAAGAAAAACATTCAAATATTAGCTGGTAAGAGTTATTAGATAATTAACAGATCCATCCACCTTGTTCAACACTTGTGAAAACAAATCCAGGGAAAGTAAATGACTTGCTCAGGATCACACAACTATTTGGGTAGTTTTCAGCAAACATCTTTCTTTCTTTTTTTTTTTTTTAAGAATTATTTACTTACTTAATTCCATTTGTTGTTGTTATTTTTTAATTTGACCAGACAGAGACACAAAGAGGAAAAGCAAGAAACCATGCGCCAGGTCGGGGACTTGAACTGCGGTCAGCTATGTGGGAATCCAGTGTCTCTAACCACCACACCACGTGCCAGGCCCCAGCAAACATCTTTAAAACTAGGACTGGGGGGACCAGCAGTTAGTGTAATGGCTATGTCGCTGGACTCCCATGTAGTCGACCGCAGTTCACGTCCTGGACCCGGTGGCTTAAAACTCACGCTGGGAGGGAACCAGCAGTTAGCATAATGGCTATGTTGCTGGACTCCCACGTAGTCAACTGCGGTTCGCATCCTGGACCCGGTGACTTAAAACTCACGCCAGGCACATGTGCATGCATGCCCAAGATCCCGAGAGGAGAAAGGAGGAGAAGGGATTGTGGTGTGACCACCCCTGGGGGATGATTTCTCGCTTTCTATCTCTCTGTCTCTCTCTGTCTGTCTGGCGGGCGCACATGACAAAAACCCCTCAAAAAAAAAAAAAAAAAAAAAGGACTGGGGACCAACAGATGGCGTAATACTTACATCACTGGACTCCCACATGGCTGACCATGGTTCAAGTCCTAGACCCAGAGGCTTAAAACCCACGTGTGTGTGTGTGCCCAAAATTCCAAGAGGAAAATAAAGGAGAAGGGATTGTGATGTTGCCATCCTCCCTGGGGAGAGGGGGGGTGTGATTTTTCACTTTCTGTCTCTCTATAACAAAATCTCTGAACATAAGTAAACAAACTAGGTCTGGGGCCTCAGCTGCTTAGAGTTGGGTCTGTACTTCTTGCACTGTACCCCACATGGCTTCCTAATTTGTGTATAGTAATTACTTCATTTATTCACCATTATTATTTTTTTAATTTGCTACAGGGCATATGTGCTCACCAGAGAGAGAGAGATGGAAGTATATAGAGAGAAAAGGTAAGAAAGCAAGCCACAGGTCTGGGACCCAAACCACAGTCGGCCATGTGGGAGTCCAGTGCCCTAACCATCATACACCTGCTGGCCCCACTTTAATTCTTATTATTTTAATTTTTAAAAAAGGTAAGTCCAAACAAAGGCGAGCCCAGAGTCTGTATAACCAATGTGGTAGGAAATGAAATGCTGGAGAAATGCAGGTAGCAGTTTAAAAATCAGCAATATATGCCCAGCCCAGGTGGCACAGCAGTGGCTCAGTGCCCTGTGTGTACCTGCAGGGCACACATGTGGTCGGCCAAGCAGTCACAGTGACCTTGTTGAAGTTGCTTGTCTGTCTTTTTTTTTTGAGAAGTTTTTGCTGGGCACATGTGCTCGCCAGAAAGACAGAGAGACAGAAAGAGAGAAGTCACCCACCAGGGGGGATGGCCATGCCACAATCCCTTCTCCTCCATTCTCTCGGAATCTTGGGCACGCACACACAGGCATCCGGTGTGAGTTTAAGCCACTGGGTGCGGGACTTGAACCGCAGTTGATTACATGGGGAGTCCAGCGACATAGCCATTATGCCAACTGCTGGTCCCGAAGTTGCTTGTCTTTCATTCTCTCTCAATAAAAAAACTTGGGGCCAGAAGGTGACATAGTGGTTAAGGTGCTGGACTCCCACATGGCTGACTGTGGTTCAATTCTCAGACCTAGGGGCTTAAACTCACACCAGGTGCGTGTGTGCATGCTCAAAATCCCAAGAGGAGAATGGAGAAGGGATTATGGCATACCCAACCCTCTCTGGGGGGTGGTTTCTCATCTTCCCTCTCACTGTCTCTGTCTCTCTCCAGTAAGCACATGTGCCTTCAGGGGGTGGGATGGGGGTGGGGGGGGAAATAGCAAAAACCTCTCCAAAAAATAAATAAATAAATAAATAATTGTATCTGGAAATGCCAAAACCAAGGCCGTGTATTATGAGTTCTAGGTTCAAACTACACATTTTGCTGTTAGTGGTGGCCTTCAGTTGATCCTGTAAGGTTAGAAAAAATGGGAAAGCGAAGTGCGCTGGACTAAG